CAGTATGTTAAAAAAAAAACATAAATAATATTAAAAATAAAAATGTAAAAAACAATTTAGAAAAATTATAATTTTTGGTTCTAAACTAATTTGGGTTATTTTTTTTTTTACTAAGAAAATAACTGAATCAATTTTGGCCAAGATTTATGAAGAAAGATTATTTGCAAATTTTTATAAGAAAAACACTTTTTTTCAAAATTTTTGGACTTTTTCATTTATATAGCAAACAAAATAAAAATCCCAGTGGTGAATAAAAACCACTAAAATAAAGTTTTATCTGTCTCAAAAAAAATTCTAAAAAATTCATATGGGTACAGTGTTGCAATTGTCATTCAAAGTGTGATAGCACTGAAAGCTGAAAATTGGCCTAGACAGGAAGAGGGTGAAAGTGTCCGGACTTGTAGTGGTTAACCACTTGCCTACCAGGGTTCCTGCCCAGGCCAATTTTCAGCATTCAGTACTGTCGCACTTTGAATGACAATTGCGCGGTCATGCAACATTGTACCCATATTACATTTTTATAATTTTTTTTTCTCACAAATAGAGCTTTCTTTTGATGGTATTTAATCGCCCCTGGGTGTTTTATTTTTTGCACTATAAACAGAAAAAGAGCAAAAAATGTTTTTAAAAGTTTTTCTTTGTTTCTATTATAAAATTTTCCAAACAGGTAATTTTTCTCTAATGTGTGTTGATGAGGCTGCACTGATAGGCAGCACTGATGGGCACTGATAGGCAGCATTGATGGGCACTGGTGAGGTGACAGAGATAGGCAGCACTGATGGGCACTGATAGGTGGCACTGATGATGCTGCACTGATGGGCACTGATAGGTGGCACTGATGGGTAGCACTGATGGGCGGCACTGTTGGGCACTGCTGTGCAGCACTGTTGGGTAGCACTGCTGGGCAGCACAGCTGGGCAACACTGATGGGAGGCACTGCTGGGCAATGGTGGTTGGCAATGATGGACACAGGTGGCAGGCACTGTTTGGTGGCACTGTTGGGCACAGGTGGGTGGCACTGATGGGCACAGGTGGGTGGCACTGCTGGGCAGCACTGTTGGGCACTGATCATCAGTGCTGATCTGTTCTCTGACAATTGCCAATTATCGGCAGTACTTTCCTCACGCTGTCAAGTGCAGCCGATAACTGGCAACTGTATTTACCCGGTGATCTGCTGTGTCATTGGACACGGCTGATCATGTGGTAAAAGGCCGCTGTGATTGGCCTTTTACCACAACATGTGATCAGCTGTGTCCGTAGGACACAGCGATCACAGAGATCGTCAGGTGTGCGCCGCTGGCGGCATGCGGGAGGACGTCATATGACTCCCTCCCAGAACTGGTCACTCGGCTATAGCGCAGTTGCCAAGTGGTTAATCAATGACAGGCTCCACAGCTGTTCACATGTAAACGCACATGGGTCAAAGCCCCGCTGTAACACGATGGGCCCTAAATGCAATCGGTCATCGTATAGAGCCACTCGTATACAGTGCTCCTTGCATCATGACATGGACACAGCCACAGGCAGCATCACCCGCCATTGCCATGTACAGGATGAGCAGATACAGATGAACGCCAACACCTGGCTACACCCAGCGCAGTAGTACGCTGACCTGGGCGGTGTCCCGCTATGTGAATGAGCCCCAGAGAAACACTTGTATGGGCCAGCACTGCGCACTAATGGCTGTACAAGAGGTTCTGCAGCAGCTGCACACGGCAGTCAAGGCCCATGTACTGTACATATGCTGTATGTGAGGAGTTCAGTGTCTGCTGCCTCTCCAGAGAGGGGAGTAGCTGAGGATCTGCAGCAGACAAGATGATTAAGAGTTGTACACCGGAGAGCCTCAGGCAGGGAATGTCAGGAGATGAAGGCTGAGAACAGGCCCCAGCAGGAGCCGAGTGGCGGCGATGTGGGCTGGGAAGGGTTCTGGGAGGGCCGGGGGTGGCTCTCCTAGGCGGAGGAGCAGAACGCTGGCGCCTTGGCATTGCGGCCGGCCGATTTATACACGAGAGGGCGCCGCTGTGAGGGCGGGAACCGGGCTAAGCCTGGCTGGCAGCGGATTCCTGTCAGAGTCGAGAAGGGGGGAGGGAGGGAGGTAAGGCGGGCTACTGTCTGGCCGGACTCCTCAGGCCCCGAGATATCCGCGTGTCTGCCAGCATCACTGTCATGGCTCCGTCCCATCATGTCTCTAGTGTGTCATTGTCCTCGCAGCTGTACATAGCAGGCCAGGAAAACACAATCAAGTCTTTAAATCTCAGGGATACCGCCTGCCTACTGGGCACCTCCACCCCCTTCCTACCCTCCGGGCACCTCTACCCCATTCCTACCCACCGGGCACCTCTACCCCCTTCCTACCCTCTGGGCACCTCCACCCCCTACCTACCCTCCGGGCTCCTCCACCCCTTTACTGCCCACCGGGCACCTCCACCCCCTTCCTACCCACCGGGCCTCCACCCCCCCCCTTCCTACCCACCGGGCACCTCCACCCCCTTCCTACCTATCGGGCACTTCCACCCCTTCCTACTACCGGGCACCTCCATCCCCTTCCTATCCACTGGGCACCTCCACCCCCTTCCTACCTACCGGGCACCTCCACCCCCTTCCTACCCACCCGGGCACTTCCATCCCCCTTCCTACCTAAGGGGCACCTCCACCACCCCCTTCCTACCCACCGGGCACCTCCACCCCCTTCCTACCCACCGGGCACCTCCACCCCCTTCCTACCTACCGGGCACCTCCACCCCCTTCCTACCCACCGGGCACCTCCACCCCCCCTTCCACCTCCACCCCCTTCCTACCTACCGGGCACCTCTACCCCCCCCTTCCTACCCACCCACTTACATCCCCCTTCCCCTAAGGGCACCTCCACCCCCTTCCTACCCACTGGGCACTTCCATCCCCCTTCCTACCTACCGGGCACTTCCCCCCCTTCCTACCCACCGGGGCACTTCCACCCCCTTCCTACCCACCGGGCACCTCCACCCCCTTCCTACCTACCGGGCACCTCCACCCCCTTCCTACCCACCGGGCACTTCCATCCCCCTTCCTACCTAAGGGGCACCTCCACCCCCTTCCTACCCACCGGGCACCTCCACCCCCTTCCTACCCACCGGGCACCTCCACCCCCTTCCTACCTACCGGGCACCTCCACCCCCTTCCTACCCACCGGGCACTTCCATCCCCCTTCCTACCTAAGGGGCACCTCCACCCCCTTCCTACCCACCGGGCACCTCCACCCCCTTCCTACCCACCGGGCACCTCCACCCCCTTCCTACCTACCGGGCACCTCCACCCCCTTCCTACCCACCGGGCACCTCCACCCCCTTCCTACCTACCGGGCACCTCCACCCCCTTCCTACCTACCGGGCACCTCTACCCCCTTCCTACCCACCGGGCACTTACATCCCCTTCCTACCTAAGGGGCACCTCCACCCCCTTCCTACCCACTGGGCACTTCCATCCCCCTTCCTACCTACCGGGCACTTCCACCCCCTTCCTACCCACCGGGCACTTCCACCCCCTTCCTACCCACCGGGCACCTCCACCCCCTTCCTACCTACCGGGCACCTCCACCCCCTTCCTACCCACCGGGCACTTCCACCCCCTTCTGCCCAGGCCAGTGGAACTGCAGTGACATTAACCATTTGCTCTTCTGAGGATTTACCCCCCTTCCTGACCAGACCAGGATTTTGCAATACTGCGCTGCGTTACTTTAACTGACAATTGCGCGCGGTCATGCAATGCTGCACCCAAATGATATCTATGTCCTTTTTTTCCCCACAAATTGAGCTTTCTTTTTGTGGTATTTGATCACCTGTGTGGTTTTTATTTTTTGCGCAATAAAAAAAAGACAATTTTGAGAAAAAAAAAATATGTTTGACTTTTTCTATTAAACATGTTCAGTAAAAAAATTTAAAAAATCAAATTTTGTTATAAATTTAGGACAAAATGTATTCTTTTACATGTCTTTGCTAAAAAAAAATGTGTAAATTAATTGGTTTACATGAAATTACTAGTATTTTCAAATGGCAGTAAATATAATGGCGGTGAAAATTTTATATTATTTTTACTAGTAATGGCGGCGATCACCAACTTATAGCAGGACTGCGGGCAGCATTCTGACAGTGGAGGAAACTGACTTGGTGTCACTGACATTCCCAGTGACAACAATACAGTGATCAGTGCTAATAAAAAGCATTGACACTGTACTAATGGCACTGGGCAGGAAGGGGTTAACATGAGAGGCGATCAAAGGGTTAACTGTGCTGAGAGTGTTTACTAGTGGGCTGTGTCCATGTGCTTCACTGTAAGCACACTGCTTTGGATGACTGTGCTGTGCAATGTGCTCGAGCTGACGGAGGAGAACAGATAGTAAACAAATCAGTCCTCCTCCCCGTTGGAGATCTTCAGAAATCACTGGGCACCGGCGAGTAATCACCGGCCGAGACCCCTTGATTGACAGTTGCGGTCACAAATGGCAGCACAGGTAGGGCGCGCTGGGCTCACACGCGCCCCCTACCTGGAGGTGCAAAATCACGTATATGCACGTGCCACCCTGTAGCAGTATTTCTGCTATAGGGCGGATGGGAAGCAGTTAAAGTGTTACTGAGCTCACAACAGTAAAATCAGTCTGTATATGCAGTAAATCATGCTTGTTATACTCCATATGTAACCTAAGGGGTTATCCTCTGCATTGTGTAAAGAGGCTGTTTGATCCTGTCTTCTCTGATCCTCCCCTTCTACTGTCCCCAATCCATCTACCATAGTACAGAGCAGTAGTGGCAAGCTGCACATGCTCAGTTTGGTTTGTATTGCTAGACAGTTTTTTTTTATCTTTGGGAGGGTGCATGTGATCAGCACAGGGCCAATCAGCACTGTCCAGACAGAGGGTCAGGGGTTATTGTGCAGCAAGGAGTGCACATTCCAGGACATTCACAATGTGGTCATAACCTTTATTGAGTCCATCCCCAAGCGCAGGAGTATTTGGGTCTGCTGTTTTTGTTATGCAACCTCACAGCACAATCAGAGGAGAACAAAAACAAGCTTTCACCAGTGCTCAGCCAAACACTGATAGAAGTCACAAGACTGCTCTAACTGCTGATGAGAAAAGGTATTTAGCAGTTTATATTTACTAAAATAATTGCATCTCCATGTTCTGTGTTAATGCTCTGCATTGCGTAAGAAACGCTGTTTGATCCTGACTTCTCTGATCCTCCCCATGTTCCAGTGTCCCCCTCTCGTCTCCTGATAAGACATATTGTGTGGAGTCACTCTGCACATGCTCAGTTTGGTGTGTATTGCTAGAGAGGTGGGGTTTTTTTTTTGCTTGGGAGGGTGCATGTGATCAGGACAGGGCCAATCAGCACAATCACGTTGGGTTCTGCATCCTCCTAGAACAAAATGAAAATTCCAAGCTTTAATCAGTGCTCGGCTGGACACTGATAGAAGTCACAAGACTAACTGCTGATGAGAAAAGGTATTTAGCAGTTTATAGTTACTAAAACAATTGCATTTCCATGTAGTGTGTACTGTGGGAGACCAGATATAGTGAATGCAGGGTCCTGGGTTTAGTAACACTTTACCAGTTGCAGTTCCAGGTATGATAAGCGCTCCACTCCAGCACAGCACAGACAGGGACATTATTGGCAGATCTAGCAGTATAAGGCAAGGAAGGTGTCACTCATTGTACCAATATGTCACAAAGTATCAACACAGGTATGCAGTGATGTTTCTTCAAGCTCCCAGTAAGACACAAGACAGGCAAAGAGTACTTTACCCGGGGCGGCATCTGCTGGAGGGGCAGATTACTGGCAGATGTACAAGACTCAGCTAGCGGTTCTCAGAGACTATAAGAAGGTTGCATTTCTCTGCCTTTTCTCTAACATGAAGTGTAGTATCAGTTCTTTGCCATGTCCAGTAGGGGCACTACAGTCTTCTTGGCCTTAAGTTCCCAGTCACCCTGGATTTGAATTGGCATGTGATTTGCATGCCATGCGATTTGCAAATCACACGCCAAGTTGCACCCTATTGTCCGCGATTACAGCGGTCATATCGGTGAGGTTCCGACTTGGTTGGAGCCGCACCGATTTCTAAAGTAATCCATACACTACTTTTGGTGCGATTTGCATAGACATCTGTGTCAGATGTCTTATAAATCGTACCTGAAATTGGCATGTCATCCGACTTTCAAATCATGCGACTTCACTGTCAGTCGCACGATTTCAAAGTCGGGTTTAGTGTGACCGGGGTGTAAGGCCGGGGAAAAGTGCACATTTTTGTGTGTTCACATGCACACGTTTTGCTTCACTTACTGGTGTTTGGATTCTGCAAGCCCACCACAGGTTAAAAAAAAGAAAATTGGAAGGTTGCAGCAGCATCTCCGGTGACCAGTGATTTGAGGGACATGCAGTGAGATCTCCACACTTTCCCTCCGCATGCAGGAACCTTTCCCTAACACTGTATCTCTCTCCCTACCAAGTGGCTACCAGTCCCTCTCCTATTCCACTCTCAAATGTGTGCCAAACCCCGACAGGGTCCCCTATATAAATGGGCTGCCCGGCCTGAGATGACCACCAATGTTCTTCAGGGATCACAGTGTCCAATTGGACAGCTGCTCTCCCTGTAACATCTATGGGGGCTGTAGACAGTGGTGTTTTTTAGGTTTTGTGCTGCCCTAGGCAACACAAAAATCGGGCGCCCCTCCACGGAGAGAGCCTGACATTGACCAACAACACCCCTGCCCAACCCCCTGAGAGAGCCTTCCACTAATGCCCCCCCTCAGGGCAAGAGATAGAAAGGCACTCACCTTCACAACTCTGGACATCCCCTGGAACGAGAGTTCTCCATACACCATCAAGCAGCCCACAACCTCTCGGATCTCACCTGGTCCCCATGCCACGTGTCCCTTCTTCCATCCCTTCTTCCGGGGGGGCACTGCTGCCCCCATGAAAAATGCAGCCCTAGGCAAATGCCTTGTTTGCCTTGTGGTAAATATGCCCCTGGCTGTAGAGGAACAATATTCCTCTGAGTCTCCCTCCATCTATAACATAGCACAGCGCCACCTGCTGTAAAAGGTGAAACTACACTTGCCAAAACCTCTCTCTTTACCGTGCTGTAACCACATACATTGGACGTGATTTCTTGTTGCCCCATTCACCTCAATGAGGCGCAGTGACTGGCAAAAAAAAATTTCTAGCTATGCTGCAAAGCCAGTGTTGGGACTTAAAATATAAAAACCTAACATTTCCTATTCCTGATATGTGCCTGCTGTGCCATGTACTTGTATGAAAAAGTATCCGGTTCTCTTTGTATTGCTTCATCTGTGTGAAATTCCTGGTGTTTCTGCCAGTCCCCTCTGCTTTCCTATTAAAAACTGACCACATTAGGCATGAGCACAGCGTGGCCAGTGTTCTGGCTGTGCTGGGAGCTAATCCAATGATCACACTTGTCCTGACACCTCCCCGACCTGCACAGTCATTCACTGGGAAGATCAGTGTGCTGCTTACCCAGCTCTCTAAGCTACTAATACAGCTGAGAACAGATGGTATGTGATTATTTATTAAAATAAAATGGGGGAAAAAGGTGTTTATAATGTTTTGTATATGTATACATAACTGTTTTGCCTATCAATTCTATTTTAAACAGAATGGGTTGTTTTACAAGGTGGAGATTCACTTCAAACAATGTGTACAGAGCTGTATGGTGGCCATTGCCTGGTTTTGACAGGCAGTTGAGGTGAGTTAACCACTTCAATACCGGGCACTTTCACCCCCTTCCTGCCCAGGTCAGTTTCAGCTTTCAGTGCTGTCATGCTTTGAATGACAATTGCGCGGGTCATGCAATATTGTACCCATATGAACTTTTTAAGCATTTTCCTGAGACAGATAGAGATTTCTTCTGGGAGTATTTAATAACTGCTGGGTTTTTGTTTTTTTTTTTGCTAAACAAATGAAAAAAGACCAATAATTTTGAAAAAAAAAATGTTTTTCTTAGTTCCTGTTTTGCAAAAAATTTTTTTTTCTTCACTGATGTGTAGTGATGAGGCTGCACTGATGTGCACTGAAGGGCACTGATGAGGCTGCACTGATGGGCACTGATAAGGCTACACTGACAGTGATGAGGCTGCACTGACAAGCACTGATGAGGATGTAATGATGTGCACTGGTGAGGCTGCCTGATGATGTACTACTGAAGGGCACTGATGAGCTGCACTGATGAGGAGGCACTGATGAAGCGGTATGGATGGGCACTGATAGGCAGCGCTGATAAGCTGCACTGATAGGACTGCACTGATCATCAGGGCACTGAACAGTATCCTGGTTATCAGCGTAAACAATGTATTCACTGTACCCTATCAGCCTTGCAGGTTATTGGTTCTCCTTTCCTCACTCAGAGACAGCGTGAGAAGAAAGAAATACAGATAACTGGCAAGTCTGTTTACATGTGACTAGCTGTGATTGGACACATCCGATCACATGGTAAAGGGCCACTGTGATTGTCCCTTTACCGCGATCTGTGAACAGTTGTGTCCAAAGGACACAGCGATCATAGAGCGTGCCCAATGCACGCTCCATGGATGTCCTCCCACCGCACTGTAGCAGTCTTTCAGCTATAGCACTCCCGGGAAGAAGCTAAAAATGCACCACAACTGCCTGGTTTAGCCACCTGACAGTGTCCATGTGATAGGAGCCTCACAGATTTCAACTAAAGTGGAAGAAAAACCTAACTATAATTATTATTACAGGTACTTATATAGTGCCGTCAATTTACACAGCGCTTTTACATATATATTGTACATTCACATCAGTCCCTAACCCTCAAGGGGTGTACAATCTAAGGTCCCTAACTCACATTCATACATACACATACTAGGGACAATTTAGACAGGATCCAATTAACCTACCAGCATGTCTTTGGAGTGTGGGAGGAAACTGGAGTACCCAGAGGAAACCCACACAGGCACAGGGAGAACATGCAAACTCCAGGCAGGAGGTGCTGTGGCTGGGATTTGAACCAATTACCCTAGTTCTGCCAGGCAGAAGTGCTAACCATTTAGCCACTGTGCTGCTATTCTTACAAATGTTTCCTCCCTCTCCTACTACCTATTCTGCCCAACCTGAATAAAAAAGATGTGTGTACTTTAATGTATTTTATGTATTTATAATTAACTCTGGTCCGGTCATGTGATCCTGTAGCTCCAGTTCCCCTGTGTTGCTGAGTGGCTGCTGCTGGGGAGAGGAGGGAGCGCTGACAATGGCTGGACCATGGAAGCCTATGGGTGACATCATCGCTTCCGGAATTCACAGCCATTGTTGAGTGCTCCCTTACACAGCTGCAGGATCATGTGACCAGAGTAGCTTGAAAATAGGTAAGTACGCAGATATTTTTTTATATAGGGTAGGTAAGATAGGTAGGAGGAGGGGAGGGAACATTTTTGGAGAATATATAGTTGGAGTTTTCTTTCACTTTAAGTACCCTGAAGTTTAAATGCTTAAAGTGAATAACTGCACCTTTATTGCATGTTGATGTTCATATAATGATGAAAATGGAAAATACAATTCCAGTTCATTTTTCTACCCGATTATCACTATCACATCTGTCTGTTGTTTAATCTTGAGAAGTATTATTAACTGCATGAGTGAACAATACAATACAATGTAATATATTATAATTGATATTTTTGTTTTGTTTGCAGAAATATGTGTTGAACTAAGAAGTTCAAGAGAGGCCTGAATATTATGTCTAAGGATTGTACATTGTACTGCAAAATCGCCTGAAGAGGTGAGAGAAATGTATCAACTGCGACAGACAACGCATTGTCCACAAATGGGAACAAAAGGCATGAGAGTGGGCATTCACAGGCACAGGGCTTGTAGCAGTTACAACCATGACTGTGGCCCTCTTGTAGGGGACCCCATCACTCTGTGCTCCCCTTGGATCTGCTCTCAAATGAAACGCAGGGTGTGCTAAGTGTATAGATGCCAGTCACATAATCCAGAGGAGAATTATACAGAGCAGAAGGATTCTTTTATGTAACCCCCCTGTCCTTGGTAATTGGATCCATAGGATATCACATGGTTAAGGGTTAGGAACACATGGGAAATCATCCCCCTGGAACCTCATTGCTCAGTTTGCTGTGCATTACAAGTAAGTGGAAATACACTTGCACTTGAAGGTTCAAGGACAAGTGTCTGATATGCCACTGCAAGCTCTGGTCCAGCCACAGTTAGTAAATGTCTCAAACATGTTTAAAAGAGAAGTATAACCAAAGCTTATTTGCCTTACTTCTCTTGGGGGTCACAGGAGTGCATTTACGTTTGCTCTCCTGTGACCCAAAGTCAGCCGAAAGCGGGATACTGCCTGCTCTCAGCTGAAGTAGCAGAGCTGCTCTAGGCTCTGAATGGGGTTGCCACCTCATTCCCTTGAAAACCAAGCACATATTAATTACACAGGTTCTGGGGCAAATTTAATGCAGATAAGGCACCAAGTGAGTTTAATTACCACCTTAATCAGCCACAGAACCTGTGTAATTAAAGCAGCGTTCCACCCAAAAGTGGAAGCTCTGCTTCATTGCCTCCTCCCCCTCCACTGCCATATTTGACACCTTTTGGGGGGTAGCGGATACCTGGTTTTGACAGGTACCCGCTCCCACCTCCGGCTC